GATCCTGAAAGATTGGGGCTGGGGCTTAGGGCCTAGGGTGTGGGAATCCGCTGCGGACGACAATTGCGCCTAATTGTCTCTTCACGGACACTGAAATCACATAAACTTCTCGCAGAATACGGATTCTGCCATTGTAGAAGTCATCATCGTGACCACATTGCTACCATCAGCCTCCGCAGCAACACAATCCTGCTGTATGGCGTCTGGTACAGAAGTCGGAGCTCAAAACTTAACAGTGTGGCTATCGGGCGCAGAAGGGTAGGGATTTGCGTGTAGGATCTATGCTGGAGAGCTTCATTCAGGTGGCCCCGCACCATCACTAGGGGTGCTGGACAGCGGTTCTTCAAACCCGACCTCTCAGGGTTCAAAGCCTGACTAAACACGTTCTCCAAAGTAGCTTCAGACAGAACCTCATCGTCTGAGAATGATTGCGATGAGTGGACCCAACATCAGTCGCAACATACGTCCGCCGTCAAGGTTGATAAACCGGTTAGGGTTCAATATTAGACGACCGGAGGAGGGTTTACAGTCTATAGGGTTTACCCGTAGTCTCCGTTGTAGTTCCTTGTGGAGTTACCTTATAGGACCCTTCATATGGGTGGTTGTCGAAGTTATGGTCCCTTTTGGGGTCCCTGTTATAATACGGCACCTAATATTTAGGGTGCCCGAAAAGGGACCGTAAACTTGACAGCCACCCATATAATATTGCTTGAACTACAATGGGGACTACAGTAGAAGCCCAAAAGTTGGAAACCCAATAGCCTCCATCTTTAAGAGTCATATACAGGTAATCCCAGCACGATTTGGCCTTAATCCGGTTTCCAACTTTATGGGGCTTACTGTATCTGTACAAAACCCCTCAAGAATCCCTAAAACCCTAAACCCTAAAAAGCCCTATAAACTCCTAAACCCCTAAACCTTTATGGGGCTTACTGTAGAGCCGAGGCCTCCGAGGGAGCTGCAGCCGAGATGCTGCAACCAGAACGTTGCAGGTGTTTTTTTGTGAATGGAGGCGCCTCTCAAAGCTGGCAACATAATTCTCGCTCTGGGACAGCTTCTGGAGTGGACTTTAAGGGTTTGGTAGTCGGGTTTAGGCTTCAAGCCTTAAGATTTCCGATGAACTATGGATGCAAAGGTTAGGGCCCCGGAGCAGGGCTCACCGCTATCCCTTAACAGCGGGTCAACACCGGAGGCTACAAGCTGTGTTTACCCCAAGTTGTTGACAACTGCGACCATGTTCGCGCTTAAAGTTCCGAGGGTGTCAAAGCAAAACATCCCAAACGTCTGCTGTAGGCTGTGCTGAATTTCGTTCCCTCGAGTGTGGTCCTTACAGTAGAAAGCAGACGCTGATGCATGAGCTTCATCCACTCCTCGAAAATCTCAAAAAATGATAGACGCAGTTGTGGTGCATCATGTCTGCACTTTTGGACTATGGCCTAGCCCGACTCGATCCATTCACTACTAAACCCCATCCCCATAGAACCCCAGTTCACGCCCTCGCCGAACAAAGCAAAACTACGCCGCAGTCCCGACAAACTTCAATCCCAGGCCTGAACCCCTAACCCCTAAACCCCTAAACCCTGAGGCCTTAGCAAACAGCATCAGATCGACTACTCGCCCGAGTCAACCAACAACCGTGAACTCACGGTCGATCGCCCTACTCTTTGATGGGTACATCTTTATTATATATATATATATACTTATATTATTTGTTTATGGTTTATCTACTTATTTACATGGATATTACCTGCAGGAACTGCTAAATCAAACTCTAGAACTTCCGACCTGCATCTTCGCAGATATCGAGAACAGAAACCCCGCTGGCCTACCTGGGTTTAATTTTGGATACTGCCCCCATACGGGAGTTTCCGAAATTAGGGGTACCTTACTTTGGGGCCCTTATAAGAAGGATCCTACTATCTAGGGTACCATATTAGGGTCCCCTATTTTCGGAAACTCCCATACAGTACCAGTCTATAATAGGGCTACTATTGAGGTCCTAATATATCTATAGTATGAATATTTAGGGCTACTATTAAGGTCCTAATGTATCTATACTATGAATATTTAGGGCTACTATTAAGAGACTTATGTATCTAGATTATGAATATTATCCAACTGTTACTGAGTGGGGGCAGTATCCAAGTTTAATTTGATGTGGGGGGCCCTGTCGGGCTGAGGTCTTACATGCACCTGCACAACTCCATCCTCAGTACATAAGCCCAAGACCTTTACGGGAGTTTCCGAAAATTAGGGGTACCCTAATTTGGGTCCCTTATAATAAGGATCCTACTATTTAGGGTGCTATATTAGGGTCCCGTATTTTCGGAAACTCCCTTACAGTCCCAACCGTAATGCCCTGGAACGAGCAACCCACGAAGACCTTCTCGAAAACCCCCGCCCTGACGGCAAACTTCAAAACCCTAAACTTTCCTAAACCCTAAATCCTAAACCAAAAACCCTAAACCCCAAATCCTAAACCCTAAGTCCTCAACCCTTAAACCCTTCAAAACTCCTCAATCCATCAATTCTGAGTGCAGCCCTGAGGTGCGCACAACACAGGCGCAAAGCTGCAGTGAGCCTGCGAAGACACCCAAAGCTCTTATCGCTCATCCAGGGACAGACGTGCGTGTATGTGAGTGCGTATAACAAGTATTGGCTTATGTAGTTCTTTGTTTGCTCGTGTGGCTAATAGGAACTCCGCAGACTAGCTAGTTGTGAGACTTTGCAGGTTTTCAGGCTGTTAGCAAAAAGGCCTAAAGACCAGCAGTACAGGGCTCGGCTATTACATGATGCTTGGAACGATTCAGGTTGGCGACTGGAGTCGGCGCCGATTGTACGTTTCAAAACCTTGGGAAGAGGCGGTTTGCGTACCGATCGGCTGTTATCATGGCAGCTGTTCTCAAGCAGATTCATAAAAGCACAATCGCTGGCATTTTCTCATTGAGCCCAGGGTGCCTACCGTTGTCGGAAACATCAGGTCTGTTCCTGAACATGACGATGCAAACACTCTACACTCTATGCAAGCATGTGGTTCAGGACACAGACGATCACGAGACATCACGAGGGTTCAGCTCGATAGCCAATCCTGGCACACAAAAGGTCAAGCGAAATTCGCGGATTTAAGGCTTGCAGCTGCTCTGTGTTCATGGTGAATGTCGTTCGGGACTAGCCAGCATCCCTTGGCTGGCTTAGAGTTTCCCATGTTTCGAAGGAGCATGGGGATTGTGCCCCAGCCCTCGTCTCGTATCCTCATATGATGAACGGGCAACACTGTGAAAAACCTTGATTGACGGCTCCGAACTTGCGCAAAACACAAACCTTGACCTCCGAGAGCGGAGGATGCATTGCGCAGAACCATTCAATCATGCGATGATGTGCATGACCAAGGAAGAGCAAGCAGTACCCAAATTCGACTCATGCTGCTGAGACGGTTGTTAGTTTTTGGTCGATGAGAAGTTTACTAGCGGTTTACCTGCCTCTAGAACTTCAAGCCCTAGTCCACAAAGGTCGCACCACGAAGAAAACGCGTTAAGTCACAGAAGCGAGGACGTCCGTTTCGGCCGAAGCTAGGGCAAGGTCGCATGCTTGCAGTCTGTGGCCGAGAGTATATAGGGTGTAGTTTTATGTAGGGGATTTGATAATTAGAATAGGGTTTTGGGCCCATTATACTATAACCATACTAAGGAACCCCCAAAATAGTATGGGTATTTTTTTAGGCCCTTATATTACGAGGCCTAAGTTTTTGAGACTGGAACAACCTGCTACGCAATATTTAGGGTTTCCAGACGAATAGCCTGATCAAACAGTATGTGCCGTGCTTCTACTGCTAGCGCTTCCCGGACCCAAACCCTAAACCCCTAAACTCTAAATCCTGAGCCCCTAAGAGCCTAAACCCAACTCCGAAGAAGACGAAGGAGGCACCGGGCAAACCCTAAGCCAGAGCTGGACATATTGACTGCAGCCGAGTGGCTACAGAAGGCAAGTCGCAAGAGGGACTTGTTTCTTGGAGGTTGCTTGAGCAAAGAATGCCCTCGCCGCGCATCTTTCTATTCACTTAGGCATGAGGCGCATCCCATCGAACACGGCCGATCCCGCGTCCGTCATGGAAATAGACACAGCAAGCTGAAAGGAACCCCGTACGCATCAAGAGTCTCCCTCTCCCCTCGCCATCTCGCTCTCGTTCTTGCTCTCGCTCACTCTCCTATGTATAGTCTTGCACATGTTATTTGTGTGTGCCGGAATCTCCGAACAAATGAAAGCATCAATGAAAGGATATAAACACATATGTAGATGATGAGTGACCATGAGTAAAATGAGTGCATGTGCGGTAGATGGAAGGATCATGCGACAACACCTGAACTTTTACACATAAGCAGAAATGAACAACGAAGCATGTTTTCCTATCTACCTCTATATGCGCACGCGTACATACATACACACACACATACATATACATGCACGCTTTAACACTAACTGTGCACATACGCACATCCATACATACATACATACATGCAAGCCCGACTCCGTGCCACTTCTCACTTCGGACCGGCAAAGTCGCCTTAATTCGACCCTCCTTCATCTGGGGATTCATGGCTAAGGCCGAACTTGTAGCCTTAAGCCTCAGATCTTGGACTCTGGAACCTTGCAATCTGATCTCTTCAGGCCTTTAACTGCAACCGTTCTTCCCTGGACCCTTCAACCCATCGGCCTCACCGAGATGCACCAACTTGTGTCCATGATCCAGTGAAAGTCAAAGCACGCTAAAGCCCATAACTGAACATCATACTTCAATGACCATAGTGTCACTTACTTACCGACCTACCTACCTCCCTACCTACCTGCCAGGGAGTTTCCGAAAATAGGGGACCCCAAGATCGGGCGCGAAATAGTAGGATCCTGATTATGATTATAAAGGACCCCAAAATAAGGACCCCTAATTTTCGGAAACTCCCACCGAGCCCCCATAGGATTCAGAGCAGGCCCTCTGGGGTCTTCGCCTGCGGGGCATGCCGCAGAGACCGGGCTCCAAAGCTCCGTGACCTGAACCCATATTTGGGGGTTTCCGAAAATGGGGGACCCTTTAGGGTTCCTTTAAAGGGTACCAGAAGGGCTCCCTTGAGGGATCTATAGGGTTCTATTGAGGGTTTAGGGTTTTGGGATATGGGTCAAAGGGGAAAAAGAGGGACCCTTAATGGGGACCCCTTCCCTATAATGGGCTATATAATGGGTATATACAGGATATGGGAGTTTCCGAAATCTAGCAAATTAAAGGGTTCCTTAAAGGGAGCTATAAGGGTTCTATAAAGGGTTTAGGGTTTAGGGAGTTTCCGAAAATAGGGAACCCTAAACCCTAAATAGTGGGATCCTTATCATAAGGACCTCAAAAGAAGGTACCCTCTAATTTCGGAAATCCCCATATAGGTTCAGGCGTTCGTGTCCTGGGGGGCCTGAGGGCTTCGTGGGCCCAGGGTGGTGTAGGGTTTAGGGGTTTAGGGTTTAGAGGTTTAGGGCTTAGGGTTTAGCGGGTAAGGGCTTAGGGGTTTGGGGTACAAGGATCCTCCGGCAAGCAGGATTAGCATACATGCCAGACTAAGCAGCGGAGCAGTGTAGCCTTGATAAATGTACCCCACTTTCAGCGATGATAGCCCGGACATGACTTTCCTTTTTGGGATGAGTCGATTATAAGCCAGGTACGTTGCACCCTACATACCCATCCCCATAATGCCCGTGATGCTTCTGGAGGAACAACGAGATCAGATCAATGAGGATTGCGGTTCCTCTCGTGGTATGCAAGATAATCATCACAAGCACCAGCCGCGATCAAGCATGATGAGCCTCCTCATCATCATCATCATCATCACCATGGTTCCGTCTTTCTACCAACTGTTTTAGTTTTGCAAAAAGCAAAATCGGCCTTCGTACGTCTTCGAGTTCCCTTAAAGATGGAGATTCTAGGCCGGGGCAAAGGACTTAGGACCCAAAGTCCCTCCAGCGCCTAAAGCACATGGGTGGTTGTCAAAATTAAAGTCCCTTTTTGGGTACCCTAAATATTATGTGCCGTATTATAATAAGGACCCAAAAAAGGGACCATAATTTTGACAACCACCCACATAGCCACATAGAACAAAGCGAGTCAAACCTAAACCCGGAACCCTCAGAACCTCGATCCCAACCCACAAAGCCCCACAGTCCTGAACTTTATGTAACCCTAAACCCAAAGCTCTAGACCCCTAAACCCTGAGCCCTAAACCCTGAACCCTAAACCAAACTACTGCCGGTATGTTCAAGCTCAAGCTCAAGGATCTCAGGCCGCGTTCCATATTATGACTACCACGGTTGATGACATAAATCCTGCACTACCCATAATAAAGAACATACTATGATCGAAAAAGTTTAGGGTCATTGAGGTGATGCAGGGTTTATATCATCAACCGTATGCTGCTACCAGCATTTACGATCAGAACTATTATAGCTACTGCTAATACCCTGTTAAAAACCGACATTCGGTGTTGCTACTGTTACTACTGTAAATATGCTACTACTGACTGTTGCCTTTGTTACTGTCTTCACTGTTTCAACCATTCAGATTCTACTTACGGCCATCAATGTGAACCATTGTCCTTTCGTGTTGACGTTTTTGGCGTGGATCACTGGTATGGCTTAGTTCACAGACGCACTGTAGAAGTAAGCATACCTGCAAAGCTTGAAAGGAAAACCCCACCAATTCCCTCCAAACCCAAAAAGTTTCGAGGTTGGAATACACGTGCTTCCTGCGATTCAGGGAACGCTAGCGGGGCATCGTACTCTAAACCTTATACTAAACCCGAAAACACCCTAAACTAAACCCGCATATCCGAGGTACAGCATCCCCCAGTATTTGCACACTCTAGACCCTGGACCGACTTGATTCCCATGCCCAGCATATCAAACCTGCATCTCAAAAGGCTCCATGATCAAATGCTGGTGGGCCGGAGCAGAGTTTTAGATTTAGGGCTCATAAAGTTTTGAAGTCGAACTCATAAAATTAGGGCTCATGTTGAAATCGATCTCATAAAATTAAGAGTCGAACTTACGATTCGGCACTAAAGCTTGGGGGTCGGCTGCTCTCAGCGACGTTTTGGGCAGGGCTGCTTCGGGTGAAGGGGGTCGTTCCGGGCAGCTTGTGTGGGGAATGGAGCTGTTGACGGGATCCATAGGCAGAACTAGCGGACAGCTACCTGCTGTCCTGGCAGCCGAAACGCTGGGCGTGCTTGCACAGTTGTTCTTGCCGGTGCCTATGGTTCTTCTTGCGATCGCGGTGCCTTTGAGGGTCTTCTTGCAGTAACCGACAGAACAGCTAAATTGAAACGAATCCCGAATTTAGGTCAAATGCCTCCTGCACCCTAAACGCGGCCGAAAAGTTGACAGGGCAATGGAAATCCGTCGAATGCAACTTCAGGGGCTTGCTTGCAAGGCCACAGATAAGGATTGAATGAACTAGTACAGGGGCCTTACTAATTGGAATAGGGGTTTGGGGCCCATCATATTATACTTTGAACGAGGAGCCCTCCCGAAAATTAGAGGTAAGCATGAAGGCCCCTATCTTATACTTTAGAAGCTGCCCCCACCCTGTAATAGTGACTATAAGGGCCCTATTATATTCCTATTATACCACTATTACAGGTGGGGGCCGCTTCTATCGTATACTGCTCATCTTTAAGAGCCTCTATCCTCCCTTCACCTCCTTCGGAAAGTCTGCATGTGACGTCTGGTACCCCGCGACTCTCGGGGTAATCGCGGGGGGCCCTTTAAGACCAGATGCGGGACCATGAAGCTCTAAACCCATATGGCAGTTTACGAAAATCCGCCGAGGCCACAGGCCCAGGCGTTTTGGTGGTTACCTCAGGTACCCTCCACCTAATCCTCCTCCCTGCAGTCCGAATGTTTGACACCCTGTTTTTGCGCTCGTTTGCCACCCCCTTGCCCGGCCTCCCCTCATTTTCTTTGATTTGCGGGCCTACCCGCCCCCTCCCAGGCCTCCTCCCCCCTCTTTTTTCCTTTTCCTTCCCACCCCCTCCCCCCTCCCCCCGCCCTCCCCTCCCCCCTCCTCCCCCCCCCTCCCCCCCCCCCCCCTCCCCCCCCCCCCCCCCCCTCCCCCCCCCTCCCCCCCCCCCCCCCCCTTTCCCGCCCCCCCCCCCTTTTTTCGTGCTCCCACTTCTTCTCCCCCTGCATTGCCTTCAGGCTCTGTCTGTGTTGTTTTTTCTTGCTCCGGGCGGCATGGCTGGAAGGCCTTAACTGGTCTGCAGGAAAACATTAAGACAATCCGCCGAGGCCACAGGCCCAGGCGTTTTGGTGGTTACCTCAGGTACCCTCCACCTAATCCTCCTCCCTGCAGCCCAAATGTTTGGTGACACCCTGTTTTTGCGCTCGTTTGCCACCCCCTTGCCCGGCCTCCCCTCATTTTCTTTGATTTGCGGGCCTACCCGCCCCCTCCCAGGCCTCCTCCCCCCTCTTTTTTTCCTCCCCCTTCCCCCTTTCCCCCCCTCCCCCCCCCCTCCCCCCCCCCCCCCCCCCCCCCCCCCTCCCTCCCCCCCCCTCCCTCCCCCCTCCCCCCCTTTTTCTTCCCTCTTTCCTGCTCCCACTTCTTCTCCCCGGCCCTCGTTTCGTCTTCCTCGCCCCCGCTTTGGCTTTTGCGTCGTCAATCCACTGCCTGTCTTTCTTTTCAGGCTCTTTCTGTGTTGTTTTTTCTTGCTCCGGGCGGCATGGCTGGAAGGCCTTAACCCCTGCCACTACAGAGCCGAGGCGGGCGGCGTAGCGTTAAAATTAAAGGTACCTTATTTTGGGGTCCTTACAGTAAGGATCTTACTATTTAGGGTACAACATTAGGGTCCCTTTTTTCTGAAACTCCCATATATCCCCAAACTGCAACATCATCGCCCACTTAAGCTGGAATAGATGTGGTACAAGCTGGTACTGGATTACCATCTAGTGGTGGACAGTCGGCTACGGACATGAGGGTTTATATTATTGTCAGTATTTGCATGGCTGCCACGTGGTTGAAAGCTTCGGAGCTTCGACTAGAAGAACCATCATCGGAAGAACCACAATCGCGTTGGCAAGACCCCTGTCCGATCGGCACGAAGGCATCCAGCCCCATGACGCCTGCCACAAACTGCAGTCTTTTCAGATCCAGTTCGTGTAAGACTGAAATTTCGAAGAGCCTGTCGCACTGTTGCTAGTCCAGTCGTGCCAGCTTAGGCCCGTGTTTGCTGATGCAATCTTTGCAAGGGGAGAAGTCAAGAGCAGTCGTCGTCCTTGAAATTACCAGCCATATTTATTGAAATGCATACAACCACAAAAATCACATACCATATCTTGCATATGTAATCTCACGGCTGGTATTGGCACCATAACAGTTTCCGGGCTCAGCTTATTGAGCAACTCTTTGCCCAACGGCTTTTTGATGTTTAGCGTGGCCGATGCCAAGCCAGAAGAATCAGAAGATGTTGCATGTACTTGTGTTCCACAAAGCAACGAAGGAACGCGTTAGAGCCAGCCCAAATGGGTCTTCAGTGTTAAGGATTAATATTGGGGCCTTACTAATCATAATTAGAATAGAGTTTTGAGGCCCATTATACTATAACCATATTAAGGAAACCCCAAAATAGTATAGGTAACTATCTAAATTTAGGCCCCTGGATGCTTCCATAGGCTTGAACCTGAAGCAGAACTCACGCCCGAGGGATCCTGCGTGCATCGGCGCATTGATGCGCTGCCGGCGAACCATGCCAACGATCTGCCAGCAGAAACGACCAGCAAGCAGATGTAAAACATAGATCTTTGCGCAGATACGAAGACAGAACGCCACAAAACGCGAGACTGCACATCGGATCTAAGTGTGATACTCAGATGGATTCAAAGAGACGCCCAAAAAGCCACAACACCGCAGCCAAGACATCCCGCTCTCAAGCCATTCAAGTGAGCATACCTATGGTAAAAATCCGTCTCACCTAAAACATAAAACCTTCACGGCACACCAAAAACAGAAGCACAAACCCTTAAATCCACAACCCAATCCTCAAACCCTCGATCCCCTTGGAAACTTCTGGAGGCTCGGGAAGGTGCGCAGCGCTTGAAGGGGAGAGGATAGGGTTTAAGGCTTAGGGTCCCATGTAGGGTTTTGGAAAAATGAAGGCTGGGAGGTTGAGGACTGAAAGACGAATTCAGGGTATGGAGTTAGGGTTTAGGGTTTGGGCGGTTGGGGTGGTAGGGTTTGGTTTGCTCAAGGCACATGGGGCCTAGGCTTCATCGGCTTAATCTACACCTCAACGCTTCGGGGCCGTGGGGCGATGCAATAGCTGATCCTAAGAGAGGGACCGGAAAGCTCTGAATTGAAATTTGAAATAGGGTATTCTGAAGTCAAGGCTTAGCTTCGTATGATACATAGAATCATCAGGACACTTAGGGGGGGGGGGTAGGGGGAGGGGGGGAGCAGGCCTTAATACCCAGAATAAGGACATAAAAAAGGCCATCTAAGAAAGTATAGTCCCCTACCCAGGGTCCCTATGATAGAACTCGAACCCCTGACGAACCAATAACCAATACAGGAATTCACACAGCTAGCAAAGGCTGATCAACAGACAGTGACACTATCACTCCCACTGAAGGCTCCCCTAACCATGTTGGGCGGCGTAGCCAAGGGTTTCACATGCAACTCTTTCTGACAACTCACTTAAAAGCTAAGCCCTACGCCGCTGAAGCCCTCAGCCCTGATCCGCGACTTCAAGCCCTGAAGACCAACATCCCGTCAAACCCTGGTGAGCCCCACTAAAGGAGTCTTCATCTTTGATAACAGCTTCCCCTTGAAGTCGCAATGTAGCTAATTACACTACAACCCAGAACAGTACTGCAGGGGCCTAACAATTAAGACTACTATTTTGGGGGTTCCTTGTTATGCTGGAAGTATAGTATACTATGCCCCGACACCCTGTTCGAATTATTCAGGCCCTTATGTCACAAAACCCTCTTATAGATCCCTTATGAAAGCACTTCAATTCAAGGAATCCTATTCTAATAACTCTACTCTGATTCTGCAGGCTGCACGAGCCTCGTTGAAGAGGGAAACCGCTTTCTCCCGCTCCCCCTGCGTCAGCTCACCGGGCCTCAGAAGGAAAACAGATCTCTGTGAGGCTTTGGAGGTTTTGGGCTCTTAAACTGTGATATACGATATGTTATCTATGACGTATTATGTTGTGTCCTATAACAAATGTTATGTACATTAGGGTATAGGGGTTTAGGGTTTAGGGCAGATATATGGGTTCCTTTAAGGGCTTGTGCTATTCCGGAACTTCGTTGATGCTGCAGTTGATGCTGTCGATGATGCATCTGACCTACCGTCATTGGCGACGGAGGCTCCGACGCCAAAGTCCCAATCCTAGAATGCACAACCATGGCTTCAAGAAGGCTATCTGGTCTTGAATCCATGGGAAGCCCACAAGACGTCCTAGTGTCGAACCCTCTGGCCCAAATATGGGTGGTTGTCAAAATTAGGGTCCATTTTGGGTCCCTACTATAATACGGCACCGATTATTTAGGGTACCCAAAAAGCTGACCTTGATTTTGACAACCACCCATATCTGAATCCAATACCTTGATAGAAGAAGATCTCATGTGTCTTCTTCGCTCTGTGGACGAGACACGAAACCATGGGAACTTCTTCGACGATCATGACTGTGAGCATTCCCCACCCCCCAAACACGGAGCCCTGAACACTATAGAGTCGTTAAACCCTATAAACTTTAGGCCCTAAACCCTAAACCTTTGACCCCAAACCCTAAACTTTAGGCCCTAAACCCTAAACCTTAGACCCCAAACCCTAAACTTTAGGCCCTAAACCCTAAACTTTAGGCCCTAAACCCTAAACCTTAGGCCCTAAACCTTAAACTTCTGGACCCTAAACCCTAAACCTTAGG